TATTGGTATTTATTAATCGCTGTGAAAAAAATCACAGGTAGTGATTTGTTGCTCAATTCAACTTCAAACCAAACATTAGTATGAACCGTATGGTCTTGCAAGACCCTCGCACAACTCTTGCAAAAATTTTGGTATTGCAGGACATGATCTTGGTCTTGGTCTTGTTCTTGCATACATAGTTTTGGTCTTGGTCTTGCAAGACCAATGCCAGTCTCTTTCATCACTTATAATGTTTTTCAAACAAAATTTTATAAAATGTTTAACGAGATGTATCACCATTAATTATAATTAAAAAAATACACCCCTTTGTAGAATGAAATCAACAATACTTTTGATTTAATTTTTAACTACGCGGTTAAATCTACTACAAAGTTTATGGAAAACAAACTATTTCGAACCAATCGTGAAGCTGTGCATCAAATCAACGAATGTTTTTCTTCGAGGGTTGCAACGATTCCTTTGACTCGGTCCAAAATACCGACAAAAGCTGGAACATGTTCCAACGTTCGCGTTGGAAGCTCGACATTCGTAGCTCAAAGTTCGAAAGTCGGCCACACGATGCGACGAATCGTCCAGCCTCCAATGTTGGAAGGTGTTCGTAGCATCGTGTGGCGCCGGCATTAGAAATGCGATCTTCGATGCAATCGAAGGCATTCTCGTAATCTATAAAGGCTCATAGTAATTTTATCATTTAGAAGTTTGAAGGTCAAGAGATGATATAGCACGTGCTAAATGCTGCCTGTACTACAGGTTGGTATTCATCGAGTTTTCTACCGTTTCTGTTAACAATGATCCTGGTGAATAATTTATAGAAGTGTGAAACCAAACAAATTGGTCTTTAATTCGGAAGGAGTGTCGGGTCTCCTTTTTTGTGGAGCAGGATGATTATTGAGTCTTTCCAGGTTTCAGGTATTTCTAGGGTTTCAAAGCAAGTGTTGAAACGCGTCTCTAGCTTGGAGATGATTGTTAGTTCTGTCTCCTTGATGATTTCCATTACTATGCCGTCGCCTCCAGGCGCCCTGCCATATTTTGCTGTTTTAAGGTCATGTTAAAGTTTTTTTTCTCTTCTGTTATTTCGGGAATGTTATCCGACGCTACAATTTCTCACTTTTTAATTTAATCTTTTCTGGTTTCTTTATTTGTGATGAGTATAGGTCTTGTTAAAATTCCTTGGTGAACTTGAGTCTTTTAGGGCTATTAATTATTTCCTACCGTTGTTCCTCCGTAGCCATCTCATATATGTATTATTTTCTATTGCATGTTCTACTTCTGTTATGTAGTTTCCTTCCAAATCCTTGCGTATAATTTTTCTTGCTTCTCTTCTGGTCTCGCAGACTCGCAGTATTCCTGTGTGTTTTGTTTTCTTCGTCGTACATGGTCTTTAATTTTTCTATCAGCTGAATAGTTTCCACTCCTAGTTTGGGATAACGATACGGATATCGGATATAACGGTACCACATCAAGTGATATCATGCGATGGTTCTCAGGTATTTTCTGCTTATTTATAAATTCGCAAAAACTCCATGAGTCCCGAACGTGATATTGCTTTATGTGAGTTTGCTTTATGAGGTTTTGGTAAAAACGTTAAAGTAAGTAAAAGAGCTTAAAAAAATAAAAAATATACTAATAATGAACAACTATCCCAAATCATTCTTCGAACCAATCATAAAACGAAGAATAAATAAAATTTAGAATTCCAATAAATGGAACAACACAAATAATTATAATAAGAAAAAAGAAGGTGAAATCAAGTATATATCATTACCATATATTCCAGAAATTAACACAAAAATAAAAACCATTTTAAAACCGCATAATATCACTATAGCAGAAAAAACTAAAAACAACTTAGCAAAAGAATGTTTCACAAAATTTAAGCCTAAAAGTAATAAGTTAAACACACCTAATGTAATATACAGGATTGACCGTTTGAACTGGGACAGCGCATACATAGGTCAAACAGGACAATATTTAAAGAAAATAATATACCCACATAAATATAGCTTAAGAAAAGTTAACGAAAATGGAACAGCATTAGCACAACATGCGCAAGAAATGTTACATAGTTTTGATTTTGATAACGCAAAAATATTAATCAATGAAGACAATTATAATAAGAGAAGAATCCATGAAATGATACAAATTAAAAAATATCAGAATGCAACGAATTTTAGATCAGATACAGACAATCTTAGCTCTATATACCATACACTAATTAAAGGAACACCTATATACACTAATTAAATCAACTACATAAAATATGAACACCTGGTACATTAAAGAAATGCAGACCAAGTGATATCCTCAGAATGCAAAGAAAAATGCCAAATATTATAAACAGTTGTTTTACTCTTTCGCTCGATATTGGACGAAGTGAAGATTTTTCAGTGGCTTGCCAAATGTGAAGGTACATTGAACATTATTGTCCTGACTCATAATCTGTAATCCCAAAAATTCAAACGATTCTAATATACTTTTTAATATGTTTGTAATTTGTATTTTAGTATGTATATTTAACAGAGCTCTTTTTTAAACTAATAACAAATGTGAATGTATATTTTAGACAAAATGATGATGGTGGAGAAAAACACCGAAACGTTTTTGTCACATTTTTAATGGTAAACAATAAAATTGACTGGAACCCAGAAATTTATTTTGAATTGTTTCTAACCACCTGGGGTTGTCCGTTCTGTTTCAAATTCGCCATGTCTATGGGGTTTTAGGATGTACTGCGCCACAATAATCTACTGTGAGTTGGCGAGATCGAGGATTTTCGGCAAGAAAAATATTTGAGTTCGGATGGAGGAATGGCGAGAGGACAATTATTTCCCCCATACGGTCTTGGCAGATAAGCGAAGGCTCGCGTGGGCAGAGGCGCGTCTCTGAAGTAGATGTAAGACATA